GAGGGGGAATTTCTAGGAATTATCTCGATGACAGTGAGGTCATCCACGTATTTAGCACGAGGAGCCCAGGCACTCACAAGATCGTCCACCATGACCGCAAAAAGTAGAGGGCCAGGCTTCGTGCCCTGAGGGACACCGCCACGTAACGTGCGCGCGCGAGAAAAGGTGGTACCAATGCGTGTAACCTGAGATCGCTCGTGCAGAAAGGAAGCTATCCACCTTATGAGGTAATTATGGATCTCATATTTAGATAGCTTGGTTAACAATATCACGTGGTCTATTAGGTCGAGCCCCTTCTTAAAATCCGCGAAAAAAAACCTGATAGAACAATTACCCTTGTCTAAAGCTTCTAAGGCAAGGTCCAATAGGTAAATTATTGCCTGCTCTGTTGACTTCCCCGATACCGCGAAGTGCTTAATATCAAGATCTTTTAAAACTGTAGGGAGAACGGCCGTGAGTGTAAAACCTTCAAATACATTAGCAAGCTGACACGTGACAGATATCGGGCGTATATCGTCCTCAATAGACTTGGGCGGGGTCTGTTTTGTAATGGGATGAACGATGGCACACTTCAGCAACGGAGGGTTGAGGCCGTCTTTCAGAGTGGCATTATAAATGTTAGCAACCGCAGGAGCTAACTCAAACGCAAAGATCTTAAGAATTACACTTGGTAAGTCATCTGGACCACTGGCTTTCTTAATCTTTGTCGAGGCGAGTGCTTTGTAGGCTTCGCTCTCAGACACATACAGCTCATCAGGAATCTCAGTAACAATTATATTAGCCACGTTCGACGATACGATGGGGGTGAAGGATGACGTAAGATCACAAAAGAAAGAGTTGATCCTCTCCACCAAGTACTTTATAACATAAAAGCATCAGCTAAAATAAAAAACTGGATCCTTTACCATATATCTCAAAGCATTTGCTGTTAGTTCGTAACTAACAGAATGCCTTGCTGAATATATTCTAATGACTTCCTCGCAGGAAATAACTAAAGGCAAGAAACATCAGCAATCAGTCAACAAAGAGAAACGCATGGTACAAACATCGCACGACAACTGTATCAAGCTTAGGATAACTAATTAACACAACAGTAGTGCTTAGCGCTCTTCGCTTGAGCCAACATGAAGGGAGTTTCAAAAGTTTAACTACTCTTTAACCAAGCAAAAACCTGTATGAGAAGCTTCGAAAAGCGAAACAAATTCAACTCCAGTGGATAACATGCAGAAGGCGCTTGACTATTAAATGCCGCGGTAAGGGGTCAGCAAGGAGAAACAATTGGCGTTGTTTGTTGCTTTTGCACCCAGCCGCGTCGGAGAATATGTTGAAGCTTTTGAATCACTTTTACCATTGGTGAGCGAGAGAATTTTGATCGTTGTGGGATCAAACGGCGGAATTAAAGCGGTGTTTGACAATTAATACGGCCATGGGTTCAATCAATCCTCGTCGCTAGTGTAATAACATGTAATACTAGTTTTCTTCCCATCGGTTTTTATTTTTAATGGCTGCTCATCCTTTTTACTCAACATCTGTTGAAACGACTTACTAAGTTCAATTCTTGAAATCTTGTTTGAAATTAACAAAGATCCCTGTACGCCCAACAATTGGAGGCTGTAACGTATTGAAACGACCGAATATTTACATTGTCTCATGCCAGATTATGATCACAGACGGCTTCAGTCTTGCGTCTTTATCGGGCGAGTTGTGTACGTTTGCACACTTATCAACACAAATCAAGTAAAATATATTCTTGCAAATACTTTTTTTCAATTATCAGAAAAAGGGTTTGCATAGGGGCGATAACGTACTCACCATCAGATACACTGGTGAAGCGGCAGAA